GATCACTTCTTTAGGTATACAAATGTGAACAACTATGGTGCACCCCTGAAACTAATATAATATTGTATGTTAGCTATATTTTTAATAAAAATCTTACAAATAAAATAAAATTTTAAGGAAAAAACTGTATTAAAATTACGTTGATGGTAACCACTTTGAGCACTTCTTATAATTGCAGAAGTCAAACGTAACTTGTATTCATTTTGTGTTATTGGTATATATTGAATATTACAATTATAATACAGGTTTTTTTCCTGTCTTAAAAAGTGTATACATTTTTTTGGCACCTTCTGTATTTTCAATTCCTCTTTTTCTATGAGTTTTACATGTGTCTGTATTTTTCAACATAACTTCCAAATACATTTTTTTTACTCTGGTCATGTAATTTCAGTGTACACATTCAGAAAGCTTTGCGGAATATGGTATACAAAGACCAGTTTCTTTGTGGTTCAACTTATCCCTGCCTATGACAAACTGTACAGGAGTGGTTTATTCAAAAAATTAGTAATTTATTCACTTCTGATATTTAAAAACTGCTATTCTCATTTAACTTGGAAACAAAAGCCTGTTGTGTTCATGGGTAAATACAACAAACTATATATAATTTAGCTTAGCTTTCCTAAAAATACACGAATACTTAAAGAGACTATCTAAACTCAGAAACACATCAAATATGGATCATTAATAATAGATTCATTTAATTATCAGAGATATGCGTGTGTTGTAAATTTTTAAGTACAATAAAGACAAATAGAAGAGTTCAGCTACTATGAAAAGTGATCATCATACAATATTGAAAGTGTGATGACAGGTGGTAAATTGTAAAATAAAATGCAAGAATATAGGAAAAGCAGAAGTGCATTAAAGAAAGATTAAGTTTTTGGGAAATAATAAAAAATCAAGGATATAATTTTTTTTTTAATATTTTTAATGGGGAATTGGGGAAAGGGGAAGAGACAAGTTGCTGTCTTGTTGTTCTTCAGTCTAGTTGTGGAGGACATTGCTTCAATGGCCCAAGTTGGCACCATCATTGCGCTCTTCCCCGGCAAGGCAGATCAGTTGCCAGCTTCTGGATGGCTGCTCACAGCGGCTGATGGCTGCTCACAGCAGCTGATGGCCGCTCACTCTGGCTGCTGGCTACACATGGTAGCCCATGGCAACCCACTGCCGCAGGGGCTGCAGCCTACACCGTAGCTGGCGACTCACGGCAGCTCAGCTCCAGGTTGAGCTGTTGTTCAGCATCTTAGCTGTAGAGGGCAGCGTCACTGGCCCTCATATGTGGGATCTGAACTGGGGCCCTCTGGCGTCCCAAGCCAGCTCTTAACCAACGCGCCACTCGGCCGGCCCTTAAGGATATAATTTTTAATAACTATAATTGGTAGTCTGTAAAAATCTTTCATATGACTCCGACCATTTCAACCATCTGACTTTAATATATCATTTTTCTGAAATAATAAAATGACAAATCTTATCCTGAAGTCCTAAATTTAATGAAGAATTAATAGCATACTATAATTTGACATGCTTCTTAATTCAGTGCCTGATGGTTACAGACATTGTTTTCTGGTCTTACATTCAGAACGGAGTTAGGGAAGATCCATAAAAATTCAGTGTAGATCTGATTCTATATGGTGACAAACTGATTTCTGAAGAACTAAGTGCAAAGTGGATTTTCTCTTTTTCATATATTCAGACATATTTTTATTACACTGAAGTAGTTCCCTATTTAAAGGAATAGTATTTGAATCAGTTTGTAACATGAGATTCTTAGAGGTAAAATAAATGCCTTCATTATATTAACTCACATGCTTCCTGTGAAATTTCTGTCTCCATCTTTGACATTTCTACCAAAACTTCCATCTACGTGAATGTGCAGGCCCACCAGTTGGCAACCTCTCTGAATGTACCTTAACATTTTTCACCTAGGTATCTCCTAGTGGAGTAGCTCTTAATCAGAGGTGTGCATCAGAATTTTCTTGAAAGTTCTTAAAAAAATTCACAGGCCCGCGTCCCACACCAAGCCTCCTGAGCCAAGCAAGGAGAACAGAGTGTACATTTTGAAAAGGTTCTCAGGTGATTCTGATGAGCTGACCTTTGCCCAGCGAAAGAGAGCTCTTGTCTAGCAGTGCTAGGAGGGTATTTGAGAAGCGATTAATGAAATGAATTCTTGTACAATCTCCTAAAATCCTCCACATTTTGGCGGCCCAATTCAAGGCCACCCTTTGTTCAGCATCCCTCATTCTTACTGTCTATGCCTATTTCTGTTCTTCCACACTGCTTCCATACTGCTATTTATACTGGACAATTTATCAGGATAAAGAAGAGTTGTTTCTCTACTTGAATTTCTTGAAATTGTTCCTCTTTATCACAGCTTAATATGCAGAATATAAAGAATCTCACTTACATGAGGTTGGTTTCTTTCTCATGCATATATTACAGAATGCCATGAGTCATAAAAGGGTAATGCCATTGTGATTCAATTATGATGATGCCCCATGTTACTCTATGATGCACCATAAAATGTTCAAAATGGTTAGTCTCAATGTGAAGCAAGTACAGAGTTCATAGCTTGGAAATATCGAAGGAGATTATTTTACTTGCTCTGTGAGTAGCTCCATTTATATATTATTTAATTCTTTAATGTGATTGATATAATGTAACTATCATAATGTCATGGTTAGTAATAATATTAATAGTACCATTTCTTGAGCACTCGCTATATGCTAGGATCTGAGCTACTTACTTAAGTATCTTATCTTATTAGCAGCAGGTAGGTATCTTTATTCCTATTTTCAGATGAGGAATCTTCTCTTTCTTTCAAATCTTAAGTAACTTATTATGTGGTGGAATTTGTATATGAAAATCCAATTGGTTTGAATCTAAAGCTCATACAAGTGCTAACCATTGTGCCCCTAAGATGCTGTGTTATAGTTCATACCAAAATAAATTATTACCCTCTAAATTTCCAGTTGGAAAAAGACAAAGCAATTTCCATGCAAAGAAAAGAGCCCACTTTCACTTTAAAGGAAGTAAAACATTTCTGATGACAGACATGCACAAATTGCAATCATCTCAATAAGAAAAAACAGTAAAAAAAAAAAGAAAATGAAAATATAGGACTAGAACAAAATGGAAATCTCTGAGAGTAGTAGAAAGGTGCAAAAGTGTAGGCTGACAGCCTGAACTCTAAACAAAATTTCCACCATCTTTTGAAATCTCCTGGCAAGGCTCTGAATCTCTGAATCACAATCGCCTCATTCACCAAAAAGGGTGACAATGCAGGCCTCTACTTCACCCTTGAATGGGCAGTGCCATCTTTCCAGTCTTACTTTCTCCATTCTTGGTCACACCTTGTCATCAGGTATTCTCGCCATTTACATTTTATGCTGGGAAAACCCATGAGTGGCCTCTCCATCTTTCCACAAAGCTTTCCATGATATGAACGGGCAACATGGAGCTGCATCCTCGCTTTCCACGGCACTCTGGGTCCCTATCATCTGACATAACAGAATTACTATTTTGTGTAGCTGACCCACACTATACTGAACTCCTGGACAGCAGGGAGCTGGTCATCATTTAATCTCCCTCTTTACTCTCCCCCCTCCCCCACATTAAAAAAAACAGTGGATTACACAAATATGCTCTCAACAAGCGCTGAGCAGGAGCGAAAGCATGAGTCATGCCTGCTTTTTGCATCCTACTAAATTAAATGTATGGTATTATTTAGCCTACTCACTATGACATGCCATTAAAAAGTAAGTAGCTTTAAAAAAAGTTTCCCAGAATTAGGACAGATGTACTGTGACCCACATTGCTAGAAAGGCTGCTTTACTGGAATAACCAAGGAAGAGATGTGTATCTTCAGGACATAGCAACACTTAGAACAATGCTTTTGCTTTTTTCCTCTTTCTCAAGTCAAGAAAAATCCAACCATCAAGGTGAGTCGAATTAAGCAGCTCCCTCCTCTTTGCTTTATCTACTTGTCATGACTAAATGCCCTACTAGGATCTAAATGAACCTCTAAAGCTGGCCCTTTTATACCCAGTTGTGAAAGGCACAGTCTTGGGCACCACCCTTCATCCAAATGCCAATATGCTGCCAACAGAAATTATTCCTTTATGCTAAGTATTGTTCTCAGGAACTCTTTTTTCAAAGATTGATTTAGTCTAACTTTTTTATCAGAGTGGAAAGAGATTTTAGAGTCAGGTTAACCTGAATTAAATCCATCTAGCTTCTGCCATGACCAGCTGTATAACATTCTCCTTGCTTTGTAAAAGCTGCCATTTTGTCTTTCTGGTAAAATAGGTAAGATAATACTTATACAGCAAGGTTATTGAGTGAGGTGGTGTGATATTTTAAGTGTATAGTTTGGCAATAATAAATAGTCAATAAATATTAATTTTGATGAGTGCCCCGGGCCACCTAAAAAAAAAATGAGAAAGAAGGTGGTTTGAAATTCTGGCCATTTCATAGAAATAGGGGGGAAAGGGCCCTTGGTGGAGACATAGGCCCATCATAAAGAAAGCCACTCGTCACCAGGAGATGTGCTCTGTCTGATCATTTAATGAATTTCATTTATCCTTCTTAAAGACATTGGGCTATCATTAAGTCACTCTTGGTCTTAAAGTACGGTTACATCTTAATACGGAACTTCTCTAATCTCTGTTGTAATATTAAAATCAACTAAAGTATATACTTTGATTTTTTAGGAATTTTGAAAAATTGGGACTTTGTCAGTTACTTAGGTCCCAAACACCACTACCGCCCTCCATGATGAATCTGGTATCTTAGGCTTGCAATTTGGGGTTTAATTTCCATTTCCTCCCAGCGGCTCTCTGCGCTGGAAGGAGGCGGGGTGCCTGCCACCCGTGTGTGGTTTTGGGGTAGTAACCTCTTCTGGGGCGGCGGCCCGTGACGTGCGATGCCTCGGTCCCCGCCCGCCCTATAAAGCGGCAGGTGAGCGCCGCACCTCCGGAATGTTCGCACGCCTTGTGCCTGCGCCCAAGTCGGAGCCCAGCGATCCCAAGGCGAGGTCCCGGCGCGCTGAGCGCCCGATCCCCGCGGGCGGGCGAGCACAGCCACTCACCGCCGCTTGTCCCCCTTGCCTTCCACCACCTCCTCCTCCAGCCCACAGCTCCAGTCTCGGTTGCCCCAGAGACCGCGACGCCGCCGCGCCGAGGGACCAATGAGAGCCCTGCTGCTGCCGCCTGCGCCGGTGGTGCTGTCGTTCTTGATCCTCAGCTCAGGTGAGGACATCCCGGTTCTGAGCTGCGGGGCGCTTCTCCCACCGTGGGCAAAAGCGGTCGCCTCTTGAATTTTGCTGCTTCTCAAAAAAAAAAAAAAAGCCCTTCGGCGCCTCCAACTCTTTCCCACCGGAGGTGCTCACGGCAGCTCCCTCCCTAGGGCTATTTCCTTGGGAGGAAGAGAAAAGCGGGCAGGTGTCCCAGACGGTCCTGGCCAGTAAGAGGGTGCCGGAGAACCCCTGTACTTTTACTTTAGTCCAACTGAAGGAGACTTGAAAGATCCTGTGATCCAAACCTTCGCTTTACATAAAAGGAACCGAGGGCAGAGAGGTGAAGTGATTTCCTCAGATCTTAAAGTCGTTAAGTCCTTGACCCAAGAGGGCTGCCTCCTGCCTAAATTCTCCATCTCCTCTGTCTACTGATTCTGTTTTTACCTTCCTAGAGGGCCTGGTGTCCTCCTAGGGAAAAGTTAAAAGCACCAGTATGACTCTGTTTTATTGAGACCTAAAGGATAAAGTAGGGGCTTGAAATTCTGGGCCCCAAATCTTAACTATTTCCCAGTTTTGTTTTGTTTTGTTTTTCTTTATGTAACAACAATAATAATAATAATAATAATGAAACAATGACAATAATCATTATTATCAATTACCATTTATATATTACTTTTTACATTTTATGTACACAGTCTTTTAAAAATGTGACCACGTGTTAAGAAAACCTGGTGTTTATACATTAGATCTAGAACCCACCTATGGTTCTAGATATAATGGGACAGGTGTCATTCTAGCAAACACAGATGCATTTGGTATGTGAAGTGATGGGAATTTTTAGACAATAGCTGGTAAGTAATTATGTATGTTAGGTTAATTTGCCTATTTGGCAGTATTTTTTTTGATGGGGAAATTAGACTATCTGCGGAAAAGAAAAGCTTGATGAAAGAAACTCTGTCATCGGAACAGCTGAGTTTGCTTGTTGGCAAAACATAAAGTTGCTTTCATAAGTGACTCAATCACAAACAATAGCACATGTGCAATAACTACTTTGATATCAGAAGATAAACATTTCCCCTGAAGGGCAGCTGACTGGTGAGAAAAGCACTCTGCTATACCTTTTCTTCCCTTGTTCTTTCTCCCATAGCCAGTTATGCTTCTGGATTGGACTTTAACGACACCTACTCTGCGAAAGGGGAACCATTTTCTGGGGACCACAGTGCTGATGGATTTGAGGTTAACTCACGAAGTGAGATATCCTCAGGAAGTGAAATTTTCCCTGTGAGTGAGATTCCTCCTGGTAGCGAACTGTCCTCAGGGATCGACTATGACTATGCAGAAGAGTATGACACTGAACCACAAATATCAGTCTATATTGTAGATGATTCAGTCAGAGGTGAGTAGAGGCTAGGCAAAAATGTAACCTATCTGATATGTTTGTATGAACAAAGCTGCTTCAAAAGAAAAGCTGCTCCCAGGATCTTCTAGTGGCTTTCTGGTGTGTGTATCTGTTGTACACTCTGCTAGGTGAGCTAGAAACGGAGATGGAAAGAGCTGGATGTGGGCACATCCTATGTGTCTGAAGCTCTAACGAATGGTTTATGTCTATTAAGTCTAATCTTCACAACAACTTTATCAAGTAGGAATTATCATTTTACAGATGCAAAAACTGAGGCTTGGAAAAAGGGTAAGTGTTCTGCCCAAGGTTCCACAGCTAGCAAGCAGATAAGCCCAAATGAGAACTCCAATCCGTCTGATTCCAGATACTATGCACTTTCCCACTGTGCCACATGGCCGCCATTCTGAGAGACAGAGGTAGACACCAACCAGTCCTATCTACTCTGTATCTCAGCTTCTGTATCCAGTCCCCCCCACCACTCTTCCCTAAATAACTGCATGCTAACATGAGTAAGGCAACAGAAGGAAGGAATGCGGCAAGAGCTATTTGGCTTTAGCCTTAAGTACTAGGTATTGAGAAACTGGTAATAACAATAATATAATAATAATAATAACAACAACTTCTGGAAATATTAAAGGACAGATATGCATGGATTTTGTATTGCTAAATTTACAATTTAACCCCAAATCCCATTTGTTATTTCAATATTAGTGACCCATAGTTTTCTTCTCTTTTAATGTTATCTGATCTTTAAAAGGGAGCATTTGCTTAAAATGAGGGTACCAAAGTAAGAGGTAAAGTATTGTTGTTCTTTCATATTACTCTGGGGTTTGAGGACAGATGAGGTCATCAGTAAATCAGATCTGAATATCCTAGGAGCATCCACTGTGGAGGCAGGACATAAGACCCCTTCTCTCCTGACCTTAGTTTCCCTGACCCTCCACCTCTGTCTGGCTCCCAGAACTGGTAAAGGGAGAACTGATGATACCATAGAGACAGTTATGGGCTGAGTGGCTGGTGGGAAAAGCTTTAGTGAACGCCCCGCTTTGCTCCCTTGCTTCAGAACTTACACTTTTACATAAGGTGGGAAAACGGTCCATTATAATTCTTACTTTTGGAGGAATGCTATTAGACCATCAAGATTCTTAAAATTGTTCTCTTAAAGATGTTTCAAGCTGTTAATATTTCCAAAGGCCAAATAAATTGTCAGTGGTGAAAATGGGCAGTGCCTTTAAATTGCAATGCATTGTGAAATAGAGTGAAAATGTCAGTTGAACTCTCTTGAAAGACTGTAAAACCCATGGAGTTAATGTGTATTGCAGCACTTCAACATAGTGACTATTTGCTCCTGTCTAAAATTTGTAATATGCCTGATAAAGTGCGGTAGTAGCCATTTAAAATGTTTTTATTAGTGGACTTTTTCGAACTCATGGTTCTTTTCTATCACCAGAGGGAAGTTTCAATATAAAAATTGCATAACCCATTATTAAACATTGCCCCTAATTTGACTATTGTTAAGGTTGTCATAATAACCAGCTAAAATATTCATAATATTTATCTGCTGTTTCCTTCATCACAGGGTCCTATCTTGGATCCCCTTCCCTATGTTTCTAATGTTTTCTTTTTAATGGGTGCTGCAGGACCATTATGACTAATGGGATTATGACATTATGGTATTTGCTTCTTCTCACTAAGCTGTTTGCTAAACACTTGTTTAGGATAAACCTATTCAGGGATTAGTATAAGAAAATGCATCGCTCTAACATGGAAGCTCCTGCTTCCTATATTTAGCATGTGGGTAAACTATATCCTGCATAAATATAATACTGAACAAATGTTTCTGTGAACCTGAAGAGTTAAGATGAATCTCTGAAAAATCAAGTACAAATATATCTGTCTCCTATTTCTTCAAATAGATTGACCACAGAAATGTACCTCTGAAAGGTATTGATTAATTGTAATCTCTTGTAATATGGGAATTGGAGAAAGTTGATTAACTCTAATGTAGATATCTCAGGTTTTTTCCACCCCCAGGTAATACACACTAATTCCCAAGTATGATAGTCAGTACTAGACCAATATGAGTAAATAAAATCCACAACTATACTCACATCTCACTTTAATCAATGGCATTGACCCTTTTCCATGAGAAAACACAGTGTGGTGAAGAAATAACAGGCTTTAACATCCCTGCACTGCAATTTTCTAGTTGTGTGTCCTAGGGCAAGTGACTTGTCTTCACTCAACTTCAGTGTCCTCATCTGTATCATCTGGGTAACAATACATTCAACTGGGATTTAGGTAAAATTTAATAAATGCTCATTACCAAGAACTTGGTATAAATTAGAAATGCAACAAATGTTTAAAATATTTTGTGGATTTCTCTTAGACATGTAAGTCACATTATCAATAATAATAATAATAATAATAATAATAATAATAGAAATAAATTCAAAATGTTTCTAAGCTAATAAAATAGCAAAGGATTCAGATTTTTAAGTGCCATACAATACAGATACTCTCTTTGTTCAATTATTGTATATGACTTGTGTTAAATAATGAGACAAATATGGTCATATAAGCTCTCACTGCTGGGACTTCTCTCTTCTCCAAAATGATATTCAAGAACAAGAGAGATGGTTGTCAATAAATATTAATACATATATATTTTTAATTTTAGTTGAACAGGTAGTGAAACCCAAGAAGAACAAAACAGAAACTGAAAGAACTTCTGATAAACCCAAAAGAAAGAAAAAAGGAGGCAGAAATGGAAAAAACAGGAGAAACAGAAAGAAGAAAAACCCGTGTAATGCAGAATTTAAAAATTTCTGCATTAATGGAGAATGCAAATATATAGAGCTCCTGGAAACAGTAACATGCCAGTAAGTTTTCCTAAATTATACAGAATTCTGTATTTCTAACACCATGTCTGAAATTCCTAGCTGTAGAAAACCATTTATTTTTCTAATGTCTAAAACAAAGTTCTGCAAACCTTTTTCTTATAGGACCAAATAGTAAATATTTTAGGCTTTGTGGATCAATATTATATATGTACTTATATGACAAATTAAAATGTAAACATTTAAAAATGTAAAAACCATTCTAGGTGTGCCCACTGTAGAAAAGAAAAAAAACCCGGCAAATGGCCAGATTTAACCCAAGGGCTGTAGTTTGCTGACCCCTGGTATAAACCATCATTTTACAATATAAATTTTACAAAACCTCTAGTTAAAAAAGGATGTAAAGATACTTTTCACATAATGTTGTTCTACCCTCCTTACCCCCAAAAGCTGCTAGCATATGAAATGACAGTGGAATGTATTAGCTGCATAACAAGTCACTGAACTCATCAGTTGGTCATAAAAGGAGCTCAAGAATGAAAAGGTGTGTCTTCCTAGAGTATCACACCCAAACTAATCTCAACTTGTTCTTATACAAAGAGATTTTTGGCTCAAATGCATTCTATGTCTCATGATTTTGAAATGTAAATCTATGGCATGATATTTTTTATTTAAATGTTAGAATTAAATGGCTATGACCTGGAAAGTAAGCCTAAAATATACAGAATGTTTTCAGTTATTCTGATTTTGGAATGTGGGTTGTTTACAGATGTCCTCAGGATTACTTTGGTGAACGGTGTGGGGAAAAGTCCATGAAGACTCACAACACGGTTAACGATGATTTATCAAAAATTGCGTTAGGAGCCATAGCTGCCTTTGTCTCAGTCATGAGTTTAACAGCCATTGCTGTTGTTATTACAATCCAGTAAGTATGGCATAACTTAAAAATTCCTCATAAAATAATGCCAGGTTATTTTGTTTTCAGCATTTCTTCCACAACGTACTATATCTTATCTTAAGTGAATTATTCTATTGGTGGCACATGATCTTTGGTCATATCATTACACTTCATTGACAAAAATCACAGAATATTATCCAAGTTTACATTACTTTGGCCACCACTGAAATTTAATGTGTAAAGTCCCTTTTCAGAAAATCTAGACATGTTTTGAACTTAAGAAATGGTTTTATTTTATGTCATATTTCTACACATGAGCACTTCTAAGTCTCGAAGTGTTGGTATCTTCTATGACTATCAAGCCTCTCAGAAGCTAATTAAGGCTCATTAATAGTAGGTTGTCAGAGATACTGCTTTGGTACTAAAAATCACAAAGAGCTTCGAAACAGGAGTCCACAAAAAATATGTCTTGTTCTCTTAGAATGCAAAATTCTGAATTAGGAATTTCATAGCATGCTACTGATTTACTTAGAGTTTTTGACTATTTTGTTATTGTCAAATGCAACATGGGAACTCAACGATAAAAATTTTTTTTTTTCCTCCGTATGGTATGGTGTAGGAAGCAGGGACAATTCTGTTACTGTTCCACTCCTGTAATATCTTCCCTGTACTCACAATAACAGATCACATACTTCACTTCATGACCAATGAATGTTAGAATTAGACTGTTCCAGCTTGTAGACACTGATGGGTTTGTCAAAATGGCATTGTCTGTCAAACAGAAGTCAGTGAATTAAGGAAGTTGGGGGAGGGTGTGAATGGCTTTGTAATGACTCATGTGCTACTAGAGCTTGGGAAAAGCAATAGACTCATTATTCTAATTTTAGGTAAATTACTTTAACTGGATTGTGCACATGATGCCCACTCTTGACATTCAGGAAACAAGGGGTTATCTTCTGCTACTGTTTACTATTATTTTAAATGCAGATCAGATAATGATAAAATGGCACATAAAAAAACTTTTATGATGCACATAAAGTTTGACCAGTGGTTTAAATTTGTTTTGTATACTCTAGAAATTATTTTGATCTGTTAGTACCTCAAGCTAGACTAATGCAAATGTGTTTAGGAAAGATACCCTCAGACAAACTATTATTATTTGACATGGAAGGCTAGAAGGAAAAAAATTGCCAGTTAAAGATGCTTTGAAGTAATTATTTAAACCAGTAATTATTCAAGTTGAAATATTTAATAATCCTTTGGAAAAGCACAGAAAAACCCTGTCATGTTGGCACTCTTAAAACTACTCAGTGACTTCCCATTTTTACCCCATATTCTCATTGCATTTGAAACATATAACAAACACTAACCTAAGTCACAATTGCTGTTTTTTCATAATTAAAGTAAATTTTCCCCCAAACTTCATTTAAAAAGTTCTTATGATTTTAATAATAACAGTAGATGGATTAAAGAGCTATGAAAAATAGAATTGTTTCTACTACACCAAGACATTTTTAAACTATTGAGTTTTTTAAATAGAAAGTAGCAATAAATAAAACTAGAAGGAAGTAGTTGTTATATTTAAAAATAAATAAAAACTAACTTGTTTTGTAAGCCTGTTTTAAAAAATTCTAATCATTTAAATTAGTTTGTTCAAACATAACGTCCTTCTATGGTAAAACTGTACTATCTTCTTCCTCCGTTTGTGCATGGCAACTGTGCTAAATTTTGAAAAATAACACATATTGATGCCTTCTGATGGTTTACATCTCAAGGCACATTTATTTAAATCTCAGTGCTCTAGAAATATGTTTATATAAACATCCCCTTAAAACAAACATTGGTAATATTTTATAGCTAGGTTTGTGTTTTGGTTTGGTTTACACTATAGTGTGTAAATGGTCTATAAGGACTCACAAAATGGAATTCTCTATACTCATGAAAACCCCAAGTAATATACAGATGAATAGAACTTTGATGAATATTTTGTTCCCTGAAGGCTTCGACAAAGACACGTCAGGGAATATGAAGGAGAAGCTGAAGAACGAAAGAAACTTCGACAAGAAAGTGGAAACACACATACCATAGCATAAATGAAGATAATATCACAGGTTTGTGTTTTAAAAGATAACTTTAGAGCATATCCTATAATTTTGAAAAATATAGCATCTACTATCTCAAGCAAAATGAGGAAAGTAAGTGTTCTGAATTATGAAAGCATTGTGAACATTGGCTACATTAAAATATATTCTTTGAGCATGAAATGGAGGTTAACATTGACAAAGGACTATGTTATAAGGGACATAAAGGCGAGGGAGACGCAGATTCTACTCCCAAAGAAGTTAGTGTTTAGTAGGTAGGAAACAGTGTAAGGAGCCAGAGCACTAGGGGAAGTAAAATGCATGTCATGAGAAAGGAACCAACAGAATACGAGGCGTTTCCGATGAAGAATGGAAAGAATCCACTGGGAGGCATTTAGAGAGCAGGAAAGGGTGGGCATATAGGGTGACACTGGAAGCAAGCCTCAAAAGACTGAAGATTTTGGGACAAACAATTATGAAAGGAGAGGAAGATTAATACTGTGAAATGCGCTAGGTCATTTTAGAAACTTGTGAAAAATGGCCTAGTTCAATGGGTTTTGGAAGAGATAAGGTTGAAATGATAGGTTGAGCTCACATGGGGTAGAGCCAAAGTGAGAATGCTTGCACTGCAAATGGGAGGTGGAGATAGCAGATTGAATATCCTTTTAAAGAAAGGAAGTAGGGAGGGTAAAGGGGTACAAATTTTGGGGAGCTTGGGTGAAGTATATATTGTAGTTTTTATTTTTAATTTTTTGTAAAGAGGAGGAGTTAAGCTGGGTGTAGGGAGAAGGATATTTAATTGCTAACAAAGTGAACAGCTAATGAAGCAAACATCTAGAGGAAGAGGGAGGCACGGAGCTCAAGGACACACATGAAGTCAGTCCTAAGAAGGAATTCCCATTTCCTCTGACATTCAGAAAAGATGTCAGATCCTTAAGTCATTGATTTTCTACTGTCAATGTGTTTAAGAATTACTTGAGATGCTTATTAAATATGCATATTCCTAAGCCAAATCCTAAATCAACTAAATCAGTATTTCCATTTTTAATCAACACTCTAGATGCTTGGAGAACCTCTACATTTAGCATTGGTTAAGTGCAGGTATTAGGTTCTGAGAACTATTTTAGAACTAGCTCAATAACTCATGACATGGGTAATTCTTCATGCCAATGCTATACTCAGTACTTATTGCATCAAAATCTATTAATGTATGGGCTTAATGTGCTGAAGCTAAGATGATCAACATGAATACGGGTAGATTTTTGGTTACTTAGTGCAGATGAGATTTCTCAGAGCAGGTCCCAGATGATTTTAGGAAAAGGAACATGCTGTGCTGGCACATAGTGGCTGCCCATTAACTGGTAGCTACTATTATTATGCCCTCAGTACTAATTATCCCAAATTAACTGTATAACATAAATACACTGAGCCACTTAATCTTTGTTTTTAATTATGTCCACTGCATGGATTTGGTTGGGGAAACCATCTATCATGACTGTTGTTGCTTTTTTATTAAGCAGAATTTGATGAAACAGGTTTGAGCATATGCAGTCTTCTACCTAAGTAGGCATTGTAACCAAAGGAGGTGTGAAAGACGGATTCAAGTCAAAGTGATAGTTTGTCTTCATAAAGCTCAAAGCATTTTTCATAAGACATCCTAGAAAACAATTTTACAGAAATTCTGATTCCTGATTATTCTTTGACATTCCCTTGAAGTTATGTTGGAATTGAACTTCTAACACTTGATTTTATTTTGAACAGGGCAGCAGACCGGAGTTACTGCCAAGTCACAATCATAACTGCTGAGTTGGTTCCTCTTTTCAGTGGATTATAAGAAAACAGAACCTTTTTGCTTTAATGGTTTAAAACTTTCAATTGTCACATTTTGTGCTAAGTCTTATTTCTGTACATAAAGATGCATGGAAAGAAAAGTATTTTTTCAAGTTGTAAATAATTTATTTAATATTTAATAGAAGTGTATTTATTTTATGGCTCATTAAACTTTTTTAATCAAACAGATTGAGAGTTTGAATATTAGTTTTGAGACTGCAAGACTCTAGGGTATTTTTCTCCCAACACTTAGATGATCATTTTAAAAGGAGTCCCTTCTCTCTTTTTTTACTGTTCTTATGTTGATTTTCAAAACTTTTTCCTCTTGTTAGAAAGCACTGTTAATGGGAAAATCATAAACTAGAGTCACTTAGTCCTCCCACAATACTAATATCTCAAACTGGCCTTTCTTATTCCATATAGAACAATTCCAAGTCTTAGTAATTATAAAAGCTTCAACATGTGGCACTGCCTCTCTGTTACAGTAGAAACAGATCCTATTAAAAAAATGAAAAGAAAATCCACTGCTCACCATCATTATCACCATAAATAAGAAGGAGACAAGAGTAGGTGTGAATGTTACAAATGTGGCATTTCAAGAGAGCCAGGAAGTATTTAGATTTGAGACTTCTTTCTCTAATATTGTGACATGAATGTATGAAGAATGTAAACCCCACACCTCCCTTGCCTCCCCTTGCTGCTATTTCCTACATCATTTTAAACAAATACATGTGCAGTTGTGGTGGGTACTCTTTTGAGATCACAGTCTGGTTCCTGGATGGTTAACTAAGTTACCTGCATGAAAAACAAAACAAAACAATCTTTATAATATGTGGGAAATATCTGGAGGAAATTAACCAATAATAAACATAACTTCAGCAATTATCTCAAGGAATTTCATGAATGAAAGGTACCTTTCCCATCAACATTTTCATCTGTCCCTAGCATACCATCCACCAAATCCTTACCCAGTGATCATCTAACCAGTTGCTTCCCAGCCTCACCTGCATATTATCACTTGAGTTTTAAATGTCTACTATGTGCCCAGGGCCTCCTCCCAGAACTTCTGATTTAAATGGATTGGGCTGGGTCATTGGTATCTCTATTTTTAAAAGATCCCTAGATGTTTCCTATATACAGCCAGTCTTGAAAACCTACACTTGAACATCTACAGTGCACATTTTCCTCAGCCTCATTCACTAAATATTTATTGTGGGTGATTCAAGTATAGCGATAGGGATACGAGACAGAAATCCCTGACTTTGTGACGTTTTCCACCTAGTTGGCGGGAGACAGTATATCTTGCCAATACAGTGCAGTGAATAACTGGATGAGATGTCTACCAGGATCCTTGGGCATTCAGGGAACTCTCATCCAGACCAGCCTGATGAGTCAGCGAGGACTTCCTGGAGGGATGCTACCTGAGATTATCCTTGAAGGTTGAGTAGGAGTTATGTAGAGAAGATCATTATAGGCACAAGCAAAATTGCAAAGTCATGAAACATTATGACCTGAAAGGGTAAATACATAAAATAGTTCAGTATTACTGAAACAGAAAGTGTGAGGTCAGCAGGCTGTAAAAGAAGCTGGAGTGATAAGGGCAGGGTCACACAGGACCTTTAATTTACACTGTTGGCCGTGAGGAACTAACTATTCAAGCCAGTTGATCAGTGGTAGAAACTTGATCAGATTTGCATTCCAAGTAGGTCCCAGGCAACCACATCAGGGAGGGACGTGAGCCAAAGCCAAGAGGTGATGGATTAGCTCGGAAGCAGTTGAAATATTCAAAGCCAGAAATAAAAAATACCTGAAGCTGGGAAATTAAAGTAGGGAAAGGGAAACTCACCCTGTATTTGAAGATTTTTTTAATAGATTAAAAACACAAAAACAAGGTGATTCATTATAAAAGCAAAGCTGAGAATAATGACATGGTAAGGGAAGAAAAGAAATCTAAGAAGACCCTCAGGTTCTTGGCTTTGGTGGCTAGGTGGGTAGTGACATAATTTTCAGTAGGGAATCTCTCAAGCTAGCTTGTTGAATATTGTAGATGGGAAGCATGGTGTTTTATTTGTCCTTGACCGAAGAATGTCTCTTCTCTATTTTGCAAAGTCATCCTTTCTAATTTGTAACAGACTTATGAGGAAATGAGTGCCAGCCCAGCCAATTAGTCCACTAAATCAACCCAGATCCTTACTGCACATCTGAGAGTGAGCAAATGAGAGGAAAAGTCCTCATTCTCACTTTCAGAATGAGTTCAGCTTTGGTTCTGTTGAGTTTGAGTTGTCAGGAGATACGTAGTAAGAAGTTAAATATACAAGTCTGTAGTTCAGGGAGGGGAAGAATTATAGATTGGGAGTTGTCAAAATATGTATGGTAAGGTAACTGAAGCCACAAAAGTGCCCACGATTACCTAAGGAGGCTCTAATGAGCCTGAAGAAAATATATTTGTATTGAAAGATCTTCCCAGTCATCACCGAACACGTGGCGGAAGGACCCAGGCTACATACAGCCACTGCGAAGGCTCTAGGCAGGTGCCTGTTATCCCATGTACTTTTCGAGCTCTCAAAATAAAAGTTCATTAAACCATTACTGAGAGGTAGAAGGAAAACTCAGCTACTATCTTCATAAGAAAAATAATCTTATTGAGTACTCAGATACTTATATCCCACAGACTGTTCTATGTGCTTTCCACATAGGAACTCATCTAATCCTCATGATTTCCTTGGAAGGTAAATACATTTTATAGATAAGAAAAGCAAGGCTTGGAGAGATGAAATAATGTTTCCAGGGTCACACAGCTAGTAAATGACAGAGTTAGACTCACTGGCTTCAGAACTGGTCCACTTAAACTCCATTCTCTACTACTTCCCCTATAATCAAGGTGTCTGTTGTTGGTATGGAGAACGCTGCCTCCATACCAATTTAGCATGGTTGAAAATGCCCTTCATAAGATAGCTGGTTTATTTCTTCAAGACTCAGATAAGATGACACTCTCTACCTGTGCTGCCTTCACAAAACTTCCCAGTCTATACTCTCCCTCCCAGTACAGAATACACACCTTAGAGCTAGCCCACCCAAGGGGTAAAAAAGCTGGAATATTTTTTCATAAATTTTATCCATAAATGTTCAAATAATTTGTTGAGATTTGTTCCCGGGGTGGGGGAGATTAATTCCCTGGAACTTTTGGCCTGGTTCATGTGTAAGCAAAATGAAATCTAGTGGCCAGAGAAAGTCCCCAGGGAATGGTGGGCTGTAAGTAGGGTCAATGTGCTTAGACCCAAATACAACCTAAGGTATGTGGGTGGGGCACAATGAGTATCTGCTAAAGTGGCTGGCTTATTGCTGAACAATGTCATTTTTACTTTTTGGCACCTGCTCATTCATTCAATAAATAATTACAAATAATTATTAAACTCCAACTATGCATCAAGCAAGCATAGGTTACTAAAAAGCAACATCTCATAAGTCCTAAGAAGTATGTGTAAAATTAATAACAGAAGAGAAATGGTAGAGTAAAAGATTTAAATAGTACCAATCTAGAATAATTATCCCCTCAATAATCAATAATTCACTTTGTTAGAAGGGTCTGACCTTTATGAGGTATGACTAAAGTAATAATGCTGGTTTTCTTCTGTGGCTTAGAAATCAACATTATTATTTAGTAACACCTCATGCAAATATGTTCACATTAACCTTCAATCTCTCAAATTACAACATATACTATGTTCATTTAGTCATCAATTTAATAAATATTTGAGTATGTACTATAAACATAGTAATGCTTTGGGCAGTGCAATCCAACCTTCTTCTGGGTCTCTCTGGGGAGAGCAAATGTGTCATATACTGCTCTGGGGCTGGTGTTGAGGTGGTTGGCAGCTTGGGTCATAGAGTCATAATGTAATGCAATTAGAAAATTTTAAAAAGGATAGCAGAAACCGCTATTGTCTGAACACTAACATAATATAAAATCCCTTGAAATAAAAATTATCTTATGGAAAATTACAATATACTTAAACTGAAGGAAAATGTTTTATTTCTCAAAATTTGTGAGGCAAAGGTAAAACAGTACTTAGTAGACAATTTTTAGATTTAAATATATTTATCAGAAAATAAGTAAAGCTTAAAAAAAACAATTTAAGCTAAGCATTTAACTCAAAATTTAGAAAAAGATCAATAGAACAAACCCAGTGAAGATAAGAAGGAGCTATTTGAAATAAGGACAGAAATAAATGTTAAAGATAGTTGAAAAACAAAGTCAAAAGGTTATTATCTTGGAAATATTAATAAGATAGACCTCTGTTAAAAGAGATCAAAATAAAGAGAAGATACAAAAAAATGAAAGATAGAAAGAAAAAAGAAGTAACTGTAGGAACAACAGATTTTAAAAATAAGTAAATGAGAGTACTAGGATCCACATACATAAATAAATTTTAGTGGCTTAAAGAGATAAGCTATTATTTCTAATGAATGAAATATAGTGGTAGAATACTCTAAGCTTGCTTAATTCAATGGTCCAATAATAACATCAAAGTTCTAGGTCCTTTACCTGTTACTGATATTTTATCCTCACATTTGAAGATGGCACTAACATAAAATCCCCAGATGTAATGGATAAATTTCTATAAAAATACAAATGAATATACAAAAGGTCTAATGGGAAAATATAGAAAGCTTAAATAAACCAATAAGCAATAAAAAATTGAAAGGGTAATCAGAGTTCATATCCAACCCCCTGGAAAGGAACCCACCTCATATGGCTTTATAGTTATTAAGAATGTAAAGAAAACATGAAATATGTCCAGTTTATTCTATGATGCTAGTGCCAATCTGTACAAGGGCAATATAAGAAAAAAAATTGGAACATTTTATTTATAAGCATAGATGTGAAACTTCAAAAATATATTTGAAAAATTTCATCATGAAAGTAGAGCTTCTTTTGCCAGAAATACAAGAACAGTTTAGCATCATAAAGCATATATATATATATATATATATATATATATGTATGTATATACCATTGTTATATAAAATAGAGTAAAAAATATATATATATATACCATTGTTATATAAAATAGAGTAAA